AAAAAATCAATGAAGAAAAAAGGCAAGTGAAGGAAGCCCAGGAAAAACCAACATCAGCTTCCAAATGTCCTTGCCACAAATGTACCTGCCCACATAATATTGGCAGCAGGGAATATTTTTTTTGGGCTCAGTCACATAGAAAGATGACCATGTGACCAACTGCAGCCACGTAGGCTGGGCACCCCAGAGCAAAGTCAGCATTCACCGTAAATCACACTGTTAGCATCAGCTCTGTGATCTAACTAGTACACAAAAACCAGGCATACAAAAACCCTCTAACAAGGCAGAAAACTCCATAGGCTGGTAGCTTGCTTCCTAAGAGCTAGCCATGGGTCAGTCCCAAAGAGCCAGGCCTTTCTTGGACATGTGCAGAGCTTGAGCAACACTGGCAGGCTAAGCTGCCCCTTCACACGGAGCTGTAGCCAAAGCAGGTGTTAGGCTGAGAGGAGGGCATCATATGAAGGTGTAGGTTGTACACTCCATGCTTTCCTGTTACATCAGGGAGCTAGCCCATTGTAAGAAAGGGTGCTTAAGTAGACAGTGGTAAAGTATTGACCTCATGCTGCTCCTATTTCATATAAATGATTCTGTATGTCAAAAGAGAAATAGCATCATGTAGGTCACCTCACTCAGCAGAACTGGGAGCATGGACTCTGGCCCCCATTTCAGCCAAGTCAGTATTTCCACTCCAGGTTATGTAATTCTATCCAAGGTCTGGCATAATTTTTTCTAAATTCTCACAGAGGTGATTGCCTACTTACTCTAAATACCATAAGATCTTCTGTTTTACACAGCAGCGGTAGTTGTACTACTTAGAATTTAAGATACTTAATTTCCCAGACAATGTAGGGAATTTAAGAGATGTTTGTTTTGAAAAACAACACATTTGAAATTCATTGCTCAAAGAGCATTTGCGCTGTGCCTGTGCTTGAAGAAAACTTGAATACAAGACTAGGATGTTTTGTGAAGACCTCTGTAGGTGGTACAGAGCAGAGACTACACTACCATTTAAGACAACCAAAAGAGGTGAATTGGCGGAGAACAAAGTATTTTAGATCAGTATATTACAGACGATACCAGAAAAAAAGGTTACACGGTAAGTACGGATAATGAAACGCTCCTTTGGCAGAAAATTAGTTCAAGACCCTCAGCACCATAGTCTTAAAAGTCTCTGCTTTTCAAAGGAAAGGATTTTTTTTTAAATCTTGTTAGAAAATAGCATCACAAAATAGGTTGCCAAGGCTTGAAGAAATGCCCATGTGAAGAGATGTGCACTACAGCACTTTCTTCCCACGTTGTAATCTTGTGCAGGGGATTGAGATGTTGAAAATACCAAAGCAAAAATAGGAAACCTCAGTACTTTCAATTAAGTGGGAATAGGAATCTGACTTTTTATTTTGTGTTTGTTACACAAAATAATTTCAGTAATTATGCTAAATGGGGGAAACAAAGGACTTAATATTTGTATTTTCTGTAAAAATAATGAGTTACTAGTCCCAGTTTCATTTCTAGAGTGTATTTCTCAGACATGGAAACAATTGTGAAGTCATCTGAAAGCCTGTCTTCAAGCCAGGTGTCACACCACATGCCTGTAGCCCCGCCACGCAGGAAGCTGCTGCTGAGATCAAGGCCAGCCTGAACAGCTTAAAAGTTGAAGTTTAAAATTTTTAACAGGCTGGGGATTTAGCTCAAGAGTGGGTACAATGTGTATTACCTTTTCTAAAAAAAGAGAGGGGAGAAAGCTTGTTTTCAGTTTTTTAGCATAATCCTGGATAATTAAGGCATGAGATTACCGTATTATGAGAAAAGTATTAACAGCTTTATTACTGAAGAGCTCATGATGTAGCTCTAAATTGCAAAGAATCTTAGTTATGATTACTTGGTTCTCTAAAATCTACAAGGTGTGGGGCTGGAGAGATGGCTCAGTGGTCTAAAGCACCTACTTAGAACAAGCTTAGCAAAGCATCAGGGACCGCGGTTCAATCCCCCAGCACCACATGCCAGCCAGCCGCGCCCCCTGGTGGGCTGAGCTGGTCTCTCTCTCTCTCTCTCTCTCTCTATCTTTAAAAAATAAAATCTACAAGGTGTAAGAGACTGAGCTACCTTGAAGATAGGAATTGTTACATGATCCTGTTTATATCTAAAATACCTAGCACAGCACACAGCTCATGCCTATAATCCCAGCACTTGGGAAGCTGAGGCAGGAAGATTACAAATTTGAGCCCACCATGAGCAATTTAGCCACTTCACAAAAAAATGTTTCTGCCTCTAGTACTTGTCACTTGTCTTTATATATTCACAAGTAATTTATTTTTTATATTCTCTTTTACCGTTGTAGCCAAGTAAATCATTTTAGATACTAGAACTTTCAAAAGGTTAAAGTCTGTAACTCCTAAAAGTTTGAAAATGTTTTCTCACACAGGGAAAAGGCTAGCATGGTTGTCCCTGAAGAAAGAGAAGGCAGAGATGAAACCAACCTGGACTTAGCAAGAGGCACAGCGTCGACACAGGCTGCTGCGGACACTCGCAAAGCTGGTGAGTCCTGCCCGAGGCCAGAAGCCCCTGGGCCAGGGAGAGAGGCTGGGGGCTCCACACTTGCTCTGCAGGAGATTGAGTTTTCCTACCATGCTTAATTAGAAGCTGTCTGCTCCCGAACTGCAGCCTCAGCTCTGCCCGTTTACTAACCATGCATTATGCCCAGAATAAAGGTCCGGGGTCATTTGTAAAATGAGTGGGGTTGAGTTCTAGGGACCCCAGCTTTAAATGAGTTGTATTCCTCTGGTGGATTTAAAATTGGTTGGTTGTGTTGAAACTGTACTTCCAGTTGGATTTGAAACTGTCTCATTGCTATCTGTTTATCAATAAATCTTTGAAAAAACAAAAAATAAATAATAATAAAATTGGTTGGTTGAGACTCTGAATATGCTTTCCCAGGGCTGGTGAAATGGCTCAGTGGTCTAAAGCACCTACTTAGAACAAGCTTAGCAAAGTACAGGGACCGCGGTTCAGTCCTCCAGCACCACATGCCAGCCAGCCCCGCCCCCTGGTGGGCTGAGCTGGCCACACAAATAAATAAATAAATAAATATTTTTTAAAAAAATGAATATGCTTTCCCAAACAAAACTTTGATAAATACTAATGAGGCCAGTTTACTCACTGAGTAGCTGAAAGAAGTTTTGTTTCCTTCTACCTGTCCTCTTAGGTGCGTGCACACATATATGGGAAATTATTGGGGTGTGCACACCCCCATTCTTTCTTTCATTTTTTTTTTTTTTTGACAGAATTTGGGATTGAACTCAGGCCCTTGTGCTTGCCAGGCTAGTACTTACTCTACTGAACCATCTCCCCGACCCCTCCCATTCTTTCTGTATTCATTTGTTACTTGGTGTTTCTCTTGATCTCACCTGTCTGACCTTCTCTATGCTGTGTGATATTCAAACTGCAGCATGCCACCAAGACCTGTTGTATTCCAAATGTACCATGAACCAAGAGTAATCATTTTCCCATTCCCCAAATGTCAGTTTTTCCATGGCAGCGACTGGTATCAGCCAAGCAGTGTGAGAGAGGCAATATGATTGAGTTGATATAATCTTTGGTAAGATTAAGTGCGGTTAGAGTACAGGGTCGCAAAATTTAGTAGTCTTAACAGAAACTTCAGATGTTTTTAAAACTGGATTCATAGGCCTCATCTGTAGGACTTCTGATTTGGTGGTTGTGAATTCAGAGTCAGCAGCTCAGGGGCTTCTGATGGATACGACAGTCTTCAAATTATACTTCAGGAAATACCTCAAGGTATCTGTCTTTTTTGAAGAAGATTCTTAACAGCTCAGATAAGTTGGTAACATTTTGTGAAGAACTGCAGAATGTAAGGCAGTATGACCAGCTTGGTGGCATAAGTGCCTGCATGGCTAGCACAAGGTCCTGAGTTTGATCCCCAGCACCACAAAAAAAAAAAAAAAAAAAAAAAAAAAGTAAGGCAGTATGAAGGAAAATAGATTTAAGCATGTGTAGATTTGAGCATGTGGGTACCACACAGCTCTTTGTAGAAGTCTGCCCTTTTTAGGTCAGTCCTGAGAGCCTTTATATAAGTTCCTACTGCCGCTCATTAAAAATCACTACAAATTTGGTGGCTTCAAATAGCACACATGGAGGCTGGGGAGATGGCTCAGTGGAATAAGTGCTTCCCTGTCAAGCGCAAGGGCCTGTGTTCAATTCCCGGTTCCACCAAAAAAAAAAACAGCACACATGCATTATGTCAGTTTCTGCAGAGAGGACAGAATTCCAAATTGGTTTCATTGGACTAACATCAAGGTATCGGCCGACCTGTATTCCTTCTGAAGGGCTGAGGACATACGCCTCCTCCCTGTTTTTTCCAGTGACAGAAGTCACCTGCATTCCTCGGCTCATCGCCCCTTCTTCCACCTTTAAAGCCAATAATGTAGTGACTTTCCCTTGAGGCTTATCCAGAAAACCCAGGAAAATCTCCCAACCTCAAAATGCTTAACTCATTCCCATTTACAGAATCCCTCATCCCATGTCAGGTACCATTTACATGTTGCAGGGATTGGGGTGTGTGCATCTTTGAGAGCCCTAATTCTGCCTACAACTACCCTTCATATCTAAAAGCGTCATCCTTCAGTCAGCTGTACTAGCATCACATGACAAAGCTAGAAATTCAGTCTTAGACTCCATAGATGTCAGACCTACTATTGTGTTCCTTACACCCCAAAGCTGTTGAATAGAGTCTGCTTTCTAATACAGTCGTACAGGATTCCTGTGCAGATCCTGATTCCCCATTTTTTCTCTTTTCCCATCTCTCAACTTACAGAGATGTTTACAGCAGCTCCTAAGGCAGTGTGCTGAGTGAGCGTGGTGCAGTGTGTGGGCCTCTGTCCCAGGACCCAAAACTACAGTGGTTGACACAGATATGGTCAGTGGGTCATTGCATATAAGGAACTACCAGTAGATTCTAACTTTCCTATTAGTTCTATTTAGTTTAAGCAGAAGTAGTTCCCCTCCATTTGCTGTAAATAATGTTAGAAAAATGAGCAACAATACTATGGTGCAGTCTCATGTATCCATCCATCAGCTGTTAACAACAGAAACATCAATTTTAAACTTTGTTGTACTTTTATCTTTGGGAATTATTTCCAGTGACATGACTCAGAATGATACTTTTTTAAATAGGTGGCCAGGAACAGAATGGAACACAGCAAAGCATAGTCGTGGACATGCGTGAATTCCGAAGTGAGCTCCCCTCCCTGATCCATCGCCGTGGCATTGACATTGAACCTGTGACATTAGAGGTTGGCGATTACATCCTGACACCAGAAATGTGTGTGGAACGCAAGAGCATCAGTGACTTGATTGGCTCTCTAAATAACGGCCGCCTGTACAGCCAGTGCATCTCCATGTCCCGCTATTACAAGCGCCCTGTGCTTCTGATCGAGTTTGACCCCAGTAAGCCCTTCTCTCTCACAGCCCGAGGTGCCTTATTTCAGGAGATTTCCAGCAGCGACATTAGTTCCAAACTCACTCTTCTCACACTTCACTTTCCCAGACTACGCCTTCTCTGGTGCCCTTCCCCTCATGCAACAGCAGAGTTGTTTGAGGAACTGAAACAAAATAAGCCACAGCCTGATGCCGCCACAGCCATGGCCATTACAGCAGATTCTGAAGCCCTGCCTGAGTCAGAAAAATACAATCCTGGTCCCCAAGACTTCTTATTGAAAATGCCGGGGGTAAATGCCAAAAACTGTCACTCCTTGATGAACCACGTTAAGAACATTGCAGAATTAGCAACCCTATCACAAGACAAGCTCACAGGTATTCTGGGCCATGCCGCAAATGCTAAACAGCTTTATGACTTCATTCACACCACTTACGCAGAAGTAGTGTCTAAAGGGAAAGTGAAAAAATGAACAGTGGTGTCTGTTGGCTCATTGATGACTGCTTTTCATCTGGTCTGTCCCAGCCATTCTAAGTCATTATTAATTATTTGTTCAGTGATTCATTCTTTTCCAGTGCTTTTAATGATCTGCACTACAAGGTCGGTGGACCAGAAGCCGAGCTTCCTCTGAACATTGTGTTTAGATATCTTTTTAACTTTTGCTTGCCCACTCCCTGCCCACCCTGCAGTGTCCTTGGCAGACTTACTATGTTCCATTTTTAAATGAAGTGCGTCAAGATCAGGCATTGCTTCAGCAAGCATTTATTGAAGACTGTTTTGAAGCAAAGAGAGACAGTCACCTCTAAAACTGGCTGACTAGGCTACCCAAATACATGACATATATATTACAGTTTGGTTGTCCAAAGGCACCTCCGTGTCCTTTTGTTACAAATGAAATGAATTACTAAGTCACAAAATTTGGTGGTATAGGTGAAGGAGCCATTAGAATTATGTTTTTGCCAATGTCCAACCACCTACATCTCAAAGATTTATAAGCCCAGACGATGAGTTACAGTCTCTTAAGAGCTGCTCTTTCCTGACTCTTCATGAGCCCAAGACACCATGCCACATCCTCTGGCAATACACCATCCTCTCTGCCTCCCCGCCTCCCTGTCCCTGTCCAGCACACTTCTGCCTCCCTATGTGAGACTTGAACACAAGCAAACAAGTGGCCCACAAAACTTTCAAGATATAGTTGTCTTCCCTTTGTGTTGAGATAGATGGGTTGCAGCTAAATGGAAGATCAGTGCACAGAAAATATAAAAATTCAGAAATATATATATATATATATGTTTAAAAATCCATAAAAAAGCTAATCTCATTCTAAATCTCTTCATTGATTTACGTCAGCTTTTTACTGAAGTGTACATATAGGACAGTCATACCATCTTTGTGCAATTTGTAACTTTGATATTTAAACATTATTCACTTAGCTGTTACATGTTGAGTAAAGAGCAGTAAATTTTCTACCTCAAAATTTTGATGTAGACATGAATTCTGCTGGCTGTTTTGTAGTTTTATCATTTCATCAGTATCAGCCATTTTTTGCTTTGTCATATTACTGAGACAATGGGACTTTATAACAAACAGTTATCTTCAGCTTTAACAAAAGCATTGTAACTGAACCTCTCATATTGGCATGTTGATTTGTTGGTACGTAACAGTATAGTTGTCTGCCAGCAACCATGGAAGACTGGTTCCGGATCCCTCCCATGGTACCAAAATGTGCAGATGCTCAAATCCGTTATATAAAATGTCATAGTGTTTGCATATAACCTACACATATTGTCTTGCATATGTTAAATCATTTCTAGATGACTTATAATACCTAATGTAATGTAAATTCTATGTAAGTATTCATTACACTGTTATGTTTAAGGGAAAAGTCTATACATACTCCATACAGATACGCATTTTTTCCCAAATGTTTTCAGTCCCCAGTTGGTCATAAACCCATGAATCCCAAGCTCTTGGACAGGGAAAGCCAAGCTGTGTTAAGGATGTTAGCTGTAGATATATGGATTTGGAACTCTGGTGCTAGGGATGGAGCTTAATGTACTTTGCTTAGAAAGTATAAAAATTCAAAAAATATATATATATATATGTTTAAAAATCCATAAAAAAGCTAATCTCAGCCCAGTCTACACAGGGCTCTGGGCTCTGTTCCTAGCACCGCAAAACAAATACTGAAGTGTTTAGAACTGTACAAGGGCACTACAAGAATGAATTTGAGGGTGGCAGGGACCAAATTGGTTATCATAGAACCCCTTAACAATGGCTCTGAGCCTATGGCGTGTGTTCACAGTGGGCTCTTCATAGGTTCACCATTACTGTTGTAAGGTGGTGTGGAGAATAAGGACAATGACAAAGAAAAATTAGTTTAAGATAAAGCCAAGATTGGGCTGCTGATTTTGTTCCAGAAGTAAAACTATACCCCCTAGAAGAGGAAATAAAATTTCTGAATGATTACAATGTAAATATTAATACTTTTATATTTATTATTTTATTGAAGAGTTTATTCATAGTACATTATAATAGACATACCACATCAAATGATAATGATTATGTTCCTTCATCTAGTCTAGCATTTCTGCTTACGGTATGTAAGTCCTTTTTTCTTTTTCTTTTTGTATATTTCTATTTCCCTTCTGTTGCTGTTTCATTACATAATAAATCTTAACAGCACGTTCTGCAATGGGAGTTGCATTCATAGATTAGTTTCCAAAACTAAGCCCAGATACACTATTTTAAACAGTCCTTGTTATCTAGTAAAACATAGATAACACTTAAATGCATTCTAATGTCCCTCACTCCTCAGAATCTGTCATTTGCTGTTGTGCCTACTGGAAATGAAGACAGGTGCACTGTCTTGTATGTGTTTGAGTTCCGATCAGTTTCATCTGCACTCTAAAATGGTCAGTAAAAAAAGACTCTCACTGCCACTTCCTTTTCCAACTAAATATTTTAATGTATCTCTAGTTGTAGAGAGCTTTTCCTACATCCATAACCATTTAGTTTTCTAAAATTTTTTCAATGAATTTTTACAACCTAAGGTTGCTGGGTAAGGAAACTAGAGATGCAGACATAAAATAATGACTTTCTTTTCTAACATTTTGCTAACTTTACCTTTGCTTTCAAAATGGTAAATATCTAGTTTACTGATGAATTTGTGTATGGCTTTTTAAAAATCCTTTTTAAATGCTAAATCAATCTTGTTCTATTTTGGGGGTTTTTTGTTGTTGTTTTTGTTTTGTCATTTTGGGTTTGTTTTTTTTTTGTGGTACTGGGGATTGAACCCAAATCCTTCACACTGATTACATTGACTACATCCTCAGCCTTTTTTTATATTTTACTTTGAGGCAAGGTCTCAATAAGTCAGCAAGTTGCCCAATCTGGTTTCCTTCTGCAGCCTCCCAGAGTGCTGGGATTATAGGCATGTGCCAGAACACCCAGCCTATTTTACAAGTTTTTTTGCAGAAAAATTTGAACATCTGACGTACTGTGAGAAATCATTTTGTTTAAATTGTAGTGTCTCTTAATCTTTTAAACAATACAAGACGTTCGATAGTGGCTGTAATTGTTGTCCTTTACACATTGCATAACAGTTTCTTTCTGTGTGACCTTTAATAGACTATCTACAGATGTTTGAGTGCTTTAAGGATGCAGTTTAAACTCCCATCTAATGAAGGCCTGGAAACAATCGCCTCATTCATCAACCTGGTAGGACAGGAAGGATTAAGTCCAGCTTTGGTCACGTTGCAGTAACATTATACAACTAATAAATGTCCTGATAAATGATGCAGGAAAACCTTCCATAAAGCAAATCTGCAGAAGTAAGTGGGGGAGGGAGACGTGTACTGTTGGTCTTTGCTTTTCGTTTTTTAAGCATATTTTGATTTTTCCTTTAGCTCAAAGAACTTCTTTAGGGGAAATCCTTTTTTGTGTTCAGTTTTCATCTAAAGAAGTCACCTTTAAAACCAACACTTCAGGATAATTCTCAGGTTTAAGTAGATTAAATTGTAGTCATGTTTTGACATGAATTGTTACTCTTTATTATTTGGCTTCTGTTTTGGTTTATAGCTATTTCCTGTCTGATTCTGAATTTCAATACTTCATTACCATCTTTACCAACAGATTTTTGGTGACCTATACCATAATGCTGTTTTGTTTTGTTTTAAATTTATGGATGTGTAAGCCACAGTTGGATTGGGAAGGAGATAAAACTGAAATATATCTATCTGTAACAAGTGTATGTGAATTTAATAAAATATATATTCAGTAATTTTCTCCCCATCTACAGGACAAAGGAAACTGTAACATTGTGTAGTAGAAGAGTATATGTTATAACAGTGTATTGGTAAATATTTAAAATACAAAGAATATTTAATTTTTTCTTTTTCTTTATGCAGAATAAATGATTGAGGCTGAAAGTCCTCTTAAACCTCTGCTTCTGCTATTTGACTTGCTGGTAACCCACTTTCTAAGGCATCAGCATACATCTCTTGTTTATTTTCCCTGCCCTGTAGAATTTTTCATTCTACAACATATATCCTTAAGAGAAAAAGAAACCTGAGCCAGGGAGATAGCTCAGTAGGATAAGCGCTTGCCTGGCAAGCACAAGGTCCTGAGTTCAATCCCTGGTTCCACCAAAAAAAAGAGAAAAGAAACCTGTTCTTTAGAAAATATTTATTTATCGGTATATAATAAGTGTGTAGCAAGCACAAAGCCTGGGCCATCTTAACAACAGTTAATTCTCTGCCACACCACGTGCATTTTTGTTTCATTAACATCAAAGTTGGAAGAAGTGAATTGTTTTTCTTGACACCTCTGGGACTTGTTGTCATTTCTTAAATTTATATATGTATTGGCTCATTTCAACAATTTAATGATTGTCACTTCTGCTTCAGAATGAGATCTATATCCCTTTTTAATAAGATGTAGAACATTATTTCTCAAAATGTCCTAATATATAAATAAAGGCTAATGAACCTCTTCTTAGTAGTGGTAATATGACTCATGTTTATGGAGCCCTTGTGCACTATTTCATGTAATCCTCAGAACAAAACCGTGTAGGCATTATTATATAATCCTGTTACAGTGCTGGAGCTGAGAAGCAGAGAGGCTAAGTAATTTGCCACAGGGTCACCTGATATTAAAAGTGGAACCATAGCTTGAAACCCAAGTGGATGCAGAGTCCCTAGTAAAAGGTCAGGGAGGGGCAGGTTGTGGGAAAGCGCACTGCATCCACTTTCATACACCTACAAATACGGGGAAAAGCAATTAGGTTGTTTTCTATCTGTCCTAAATAACAGCATCCAGAGCCAGTATGCAAAATTTGAAAATGGGTTCAACAATACCCGGTAATCCTGCTGTGTAGAATTCGATGCTGTGAAGTAGTCTGAATGTGTCTTTTGCTGGCTGATGAGGAAGATTTTCAGTGATACATCAGAGGGCAACTTGTAGAAAAGTGCGGCAGTGCAAAGAGTTCTTGTCCAGTAGCATCGTAAGGGGTATTGCCAGGTACACCCTTTTATCATTTGGCATCGGTTGGCAAATTTATTTCTCGATTCCTTTGACCATTCAACTGTAAATCTCTTTAAGTCTTCAGTTTTCTTTTCAACCATTCTAAACTTCCAGATTTCCTCATTTATTCAGTTAAAGTCTGGCTTCCTTTTTTTGTAAGTTATGATTTTAAGTTTTTGAAAATTATACTTTCAGATGGTGTTATCAATGAAATTTCTATAATGCCTATATAGATACAACCCATTTCCAACTTTATACATCCTGAAGCCTTGTAAAGTAGAAAAGAAACAATACATATGTGTGTTATATGTGATATATATGTGTGTGTGTGATATATGTATGTTGTTTGCATACACCTTAATTTTATAACTATATAGAACTTTAAGCTCAGTGCACTCCTGTTTCTCGTTTTATTTACCAAAGCTCAGCATCTGAGTTCCTTTTCTGCATAGCCATTGACAGTGTTAAAGAGGCAGATTTACGAATGAGAAAGAGGAGCTTTAGATATTCCCAGGGATCTATTTTTATGTGGCCAAGATATCTCTACATGAGAACAACATGACTCTTAGAGCTGGAAGGTAAACAAAATCCACCTGTGATTTCAAAGAGGCATCCTGGGATTCATGAAAATAGCGCACTGAATCTAATGAAATGGCAGCAGGACATATTTGGAACCCTTTCCTGTAAGTGTGAGGTCCTGAAATCGCGTCAGAGAATGCCTTCCACCGAGAAACAGATTTGCTTCCCAGTGCAGTTTTATTTCTGGGAAGGGTGACACCCAGCA